GAATGAAAAGTGAAAAATTAAGTGATGACACTAGGCGATTTGTCAGCAAAACGCAAGTAAGCCACATGTTTGGAAACACCATCTACTAAGTGAATTTCATTTTTCATCCAGATGTTTGATGTCATATTGATTCCAGCTGCGTAGAACAGGCCCCTTTTTCCCATGGATGGAAATACATGAAGAAAGAGAGAGTTCAAATGACTAACAAATATCTATGAGTACTTTCTCTGATTCCAAAGGAACTTTAGCCATCTCTGTGTTTAGCCTTATCTGTTTAACCTAGATTGGTACTTTGTAAGTGGCACCAGCTCCCTTAGTTTATTTCGGTGTAAAAACAAAAAGTCCCTAAGATCTTAAGACCATTCTGTGGTTGGATTATTATTGTCAAGAAAACACTGACTTTGAAGGCAGCTGTTTTTACAGCCTCATTTTCCCATTTCAGACAAACATAGGGACTCAGTAGGCAGCAATGAGGTGAACCAAGAGATTCATGTCTTCCAATATCCCTTGTGACAAGATATGTCCAACTGGTTTCAATATTATTCAATGAACTCTATAGTTAGATGAATTTAGTGTGAGGATTTTTCTATGTTCCTTTAAGGGCTGAAACTATGACACAAGATTAGAAGGAGCCTCTAGGGCTGACTAAGAGAGGGACTCCCTTCTAGTTAAGAGATATTAATTAAATGCCTTATATTCAATCAGATGCCCTTCATTGAATAAGATGTCCAAGCCACTGGAATGCCATGATCACACTGGCCTGGGAAGGTCAAAGCCATTGAACTATCTATTAGTGAGACTATTTTATAATGTAATCTGAAATACCAGCAACAACTGGTCAAATAGTCAGCAAGGACTCAGTTTCTTAAAGGGGCAGCTAGGTGGTGCAGCAGATAGAGAGCAGGGCCTGAAGTTATGTCTTCCTGAGTTCAAATCTAGCCTCAGACATTTACTAGCTGTGTGACTCTGGGCAAACCACTTCACCCCGTTTGCCTCAGAGTCCTCATCTGTAAAATGAGCTGGATAAGGAAATGGCAAACCAATCCAGTATCTTTACTAAGAAAACCCCAAATAGGGTCACGAAGAGTCAGACACAACTGAAAAAGGACTGAAATTAAATGCCTTATATTCAATCATATGCCCTTCATTGAATCAGATGTCCAAGCCACTGGAATGTCACAATCACATTGTCCTGGGAAGGTCAAAACCACTGAACCATCTATTAGTGGGATGGTCTTATAGTATAGCCTGAAGTACCAAAGGTATTTCAGCAATGACTAAACTTCTTGAGATGAAGTCCACTATGTAGTTCAATTTAACAATTCAAAACAAGTATGAATTAGGTGCCTAATATGTCTAAAGCACAGAGAACAAGACTTTGGGACCACAAAAAAAATTATGGTTTTTGCCATCAGGGAATATAACAATCTAAAGTGATTTTTCAGGGAAGTATTTGTACAACATACAATTATGATACATAGCAGAATGTGATTAAATGCAAAGTAGAAGTACAAACTGCTGTGAGAAACTAGAAGAGGGAGAGATCAGAATCAGTAGAAGGTTAGGGAAAATGGCCCCTGAACTAAGTCTTGACTTCAATAGGCACTGGTATGGAACAGGTCCTTTAGCTTAGTCAGATGGATTATAAATGCAGGCAAAAACAGGGAGATTCTAGCAGGTAAAAGAGAGTACATGAAGAAGAGTACCGTGAAATCACAATGCGAGGGTAGAATTAGTCAGGCTTTGAAGGACACCAGATGTTAGACTAAGAAACTTTTAACTTCTCTTGTAAGTAATACAAAACCACCAAAAAACTTTGATTAGGGGTGAAAAAGGATCCTAAATAAGCATTATTTTGATAGAGTCAAAATAACAAGGTCAAGAGAATATGAGAAGGGACCCTAGCACAATGGCTGGAGCTCCTGTGGCAATGTTCAGTAAGGACATGAACAAGAGTCACATAAGATACATGGGGTTGTGATCCATCTTCATTGTATATTGTATTCAGTACCTTTGGTCAGTCTGAATCAGGGCAATGGCAAATTGACTATACTGAAAACAACCTGCAATGCAGAAGCTTATAATGATGTTCTAGTATATTCAATTTATCACTTGGGAAAAGTATTAACTTTTACTGAATGCCAGGGTACCATTAACAGTAGAAAAGGTAAACTAAATGATACTCTGGCATTCTGTTTTTCTGCAATATACAAGGTGTCTCAAAAAACTTTTTGGTATGCCCTGTATTTATTTCAGGTACTTTTATTTTTTAATAAACATTTCATATATAACCATGAGGCTATACAATCTGGGTTTTATTTTTTAGGGATAATTCTACATGTAACAGAAGATAGAGATATTTGCAAAGATTTACAGATTTATTTTTTAAAGATTCCATTATATATTTTAAGTAATAGGATATATGGGGATTGGGAAAAGGAGGGAAGTTTTTTAAAAGAAAAAATATGTGTGTGTGTGTGTGTGTATATATATATATATATACACACACAAATATATATATACATATACATCTTACATATACATATTATATATGTAATATATAATATGTATATGTAAGATATATATACACACACACTATTTTTTCCCTTCAGGGTTGCTCTATTTTAAAATTATTTTTCCACATTTAAAAGAACAGATGAAATATTAATCAAATGAAAATAAATAATAAATAATTAAATTAATAGAGAAATGAGATTATATTTTAATTGGCATAAATAACTTCCAGAATTTAAGCACACTTAATTGTTCTATAACCTTTTAGTGTATGTACATAAATAATTATCAAAGGATGACCACATCAGAAATGGACTAGCTAAATCCCCCAAATAAAAAAAAACCCAATAACTAGGCCTCTTATCCTGCCCCAAAGTGAGAACAATTCAAATTCTGCCAGACCCTTGAAGAAAAAAGATGTGGGGTCTTTCATGGAGAATGTTATACTTTTTAACACTTCAGAGTTAAAACTCAGGAGACAGTAGCAGGTGTCTTTAAAGTCATGATGATTATTTAATGAAGCGGTCATCAAGAAGGTGACCAGATCAAAATGGTGTCACTAGTACCAATATTTCTATATTATCATTGACCAGGCTACTTTCTACTTCCAGTTTTTTTTTAAATAACCTTTATTAAGCCATTCCTAAACATGCCACCAGAACCAAAACAAGAACACAGAAAAAATGGTGAAAGGCAAATCATTTTAAGAACACTTGTGAGCTATAAATACTGTAATGACAGAAGCAGAATTATTAAGAACTGACAAAGATGGACCACATTTGCAGCTCACAGAATTGCATAAACATCATAAAGCTATTCATCAGAGAGGGACGCCATTCATGAAAAGTTTTTCCCCCAGACAAAATAAAAGAAGGCAACCTGTGCAACATATTTATACTCCCAATATTTTCCATTACAGTAACTTTCTCCAACTGAGACAGAAAATTTGTATGGTAAGAATATGATAAATGTTTATAAAAATATATTCAACAAGAATACTTTTTTTCATGCAAGTCCTTCCATAACACATTTAATTCTGAGAAAAATAAATTAATTCCAGAAGCTTCTCTGTCCTTTTCTCACATTTTTGGTACCTCAGGTCAATGTTCATCAATATTTCCAATGACCACAGAGACATTACAGCAATAGTACATGTATGACAAGGGCATATCAATTCATTATAAGGCTAATAAGAGACAAAAAAAGAATTCATTATAAGGCCTAAGTAAATTAATTCTATCAAAGTCACTTTATATTCCATTATTATTCAAAGAATATTGGACAGCATGAAGTCAGTATGAGAAAGCTAATTTGTACACAAAGAATATTCCTAAGTTTTGGTAACATAATTTGAGTTTTCTATCCTTGTAAACAAGTCAGAGAAAACAGAATGGCATGCATTAAATTTTTCCAGTAATGTGCACAGTGTAATTGATGTGTCTCATTAGATAAGGTAAAAACACAGTGACAATAATTCCTTTTACTAAGCATATTTTGGCATAACAGTTTTTACACCAATTTCCTCAAATAACATTAGCCACACCATTAGTATAAGCCCTTCCCTTGAGTTAATTCTGATCCAAGGCTTATATCCCTTGCCAATTTATGAATGCTGTATTTATACCACCCAAAAATAGTGGTAGAGGATCCTACCGCTTCTAGGATTTTCCTAGCAGAATACCTAAGCCCCACAAAGCACCCTTTAAGGACAACTGAGGATGCCATCCATATTTATCTTCTATGAATTGAAGAATAGTTATGCATATGCACTAGCAATATACTGTTTCTTCTCCACTCCTTCGGCACAAAGGCTCTTCTGCGGTCCAAAGCTTCATTCACCAAGATGTGTCCCCAAAAACACACGACACAAACAGGGAGGCACGTGTTAAATTGACCATTACCCAATAGCTGCCAACACTTGTACCAGCTGATGTCAGCCATGACATGTCATTTCATCTGGTGGCCAAAGTTACCAAGTGTAATCAAATTATATTGTGTGGGCCGTTCCTGAAGTGCTGATGAAAAATGGGAACAAGAGGCAGCTGTTTTCGCTCCGCACATTTTGTCCGCTGCTTTGTGAGAGAGCTTTTAGCAGTTCAAGTTTCTCTTGCACCTTTGCTTGGATGTCATCATCGCCTGACATCGCAACGTCAATTGGCCAGACAGACCTGTCTTCCACGGAGCTGTAGATAATATCCGGTCCATTGAGGATGATAGTCCAGTCAGAATTCAATTTACTGGCCCATTCATGCTTTACTATTATTGTGTTGCTGTTTTTCATGGCCCCTGAAAAGAAACAGCACAAGGGTGGGCCTCAGCCATAGCCCCAAACTTGCCTGCTAAAGGGGGACCGTTTGTTATGTGTTACTCATCCTAGGTGAACAGCATTGGCTTTATAGCGTCACGTGTTTCCCCAAATGCCCTACTTCTAGAGCTGCCAAGTGTAACGTCACAGCTGTGTCTACCATGACTACACAGAGGCTTACCTTGTCGGATGAAAGTCTGGCTGGTGTCTAACAGTATATCACAGCCTTCCACTATCATTCTTTCTATGGCAAGGTTTTTGCGTATATTCTCAGTGTCACTCACTTCGTCGTGCATTATCCTGTCAGACACAATGTAAACAGAGGTGTTTCACACATTGCATTTTCTACCATTAAGTCAAAGTAAGGAAAGAAAAAAATAATGCAGCCAGGTTCTCCCTGCTCTGACCTCCTGAAAAACTCAGGAGTGTGCTGGTACCAACCCAATCCTTAGGGATTCTAAATGCCAAAAGTCCCAAAAAAAGCAAGACTGTGCTAATGATTTCAGTTAATAAATGGGGACAATGAGATATTGAAAATATTTATATACACACATCTTAGAAATGATATTATTTTTATAGAAATTCTCCTAGCAGCACTGAGGACACCATTGCTTGGACTGCAGAAGAAACAAATGAGCTTTATACCATACACACTAAAACAGCACAGATGTCAATAAGTGCCCAAGGAATGAAAAGTAAGAAGAATCTGTTCTGGTGTTAATAGGATTCTACAGCACATACAATGTTGTTTTGCAGCAGCACATCCCTGAATTCTTGTGGAATGTGGCATCATACATTATAACAGATGAGTGTGAAGAATACAATAAATGCTACTGAAACTATGATAGGAATATCTCCAAGTTCATCCCTGGAAATGCACCTAACCTCAATCACAAAAATTCATACATCACAATTTTTTTATTTCAATGAAGAATACTGTTACTAATTTTTTTTCTTTGTGTAAAACCAATGTGAATGATAAGGAACCATTTTTGGTAATATCTATAGGTAATTAGATGAGGGAAGGAACTGTTAACTGAGAGAAAAAATATACAGAGGGGTCCACATTATATCCCAAATCTCCATCATCATATTCCCAACTTGCTATTGAATACATGGCTATATTAGGCTTCCATATAAGATGACAGTATACAAATTTCCCTCTCTTAGTCCCCAAACCTATAATGTAGAAGGTTTCAATGTAAACAACACTATCTACCTTACTACTTTGCCAAATCAAATCCTGGGAGAAAAGTTTCCAGCATACCTTGAGAGTTCTTCCAGTTTTGATTTTGCAAATTCCAGACTCTTCCTTTCCACGTGTTCATGAGGGGTATGAGCAAGAAGTTCATGGAGTGTTATAATATACCGAGGTATCTTCAAACAAATAAAGATTAATGTTAGCATTAGTTAATGGGAACGAATGTCAGGGCATTTCGTTTTGGATTTAGTCCCTTGTCAGTTTTCTGTAGCTAACAGCAAAATGTCTTTTAAAAAAATGCTTAAAAAATCACAGTACTTCAATCCTCACACTCTAAGCAATTCACAAAGAATATACAGGAAACCAACCTTAAATGAAAAAAGGCAGTGTGGTAGATGGAATAATTGGTAGCTTCTTTTGAAGTATTTCTTTGAACAGGAAAAGAAGGGCTTCCAAAAATTTTTTTCCAGTGAAACTGATATGGCTATCATTAAATCATGGCAACACTGATAGACTGTTAATCTGGGTGGATTTGTCTGCTTACAAAATAAATAGCATTGGCAACTTAGCTACAGCTGGTTCTCGAGAAAAGCCTCCAATCTAACAGGTTCTGATACCCTGACATCTCCACACACCTCACCCAACCCTCAGCATAAAAGAGCACCCTTGAACTGAAGGATGTACTTGTGTTATCACTTTATAAGTAGATAAGCTTTCAAAACTTAATAATAACTGACATTAACCAAAGCATCCACTTTACCAACTTAACAATAATACCCTCTGACATCTATAGAACTTTTAAGGTTTATAGGAACTTCACACATAGTATCTTATTTGATCCTCATTACAGCCCTATGAGGTGGATAATACAGATGTCATAATTCTCATTTTATAGATGAGGAAACTGAAGTTTATAAAAGTTAAATGACTTGCCTATAAAGCTAATACATACTTAAAGTAGTAGGGGCAACTAAGTGGTGTAGTGGATAGAACACTGGGCTTGGAATCAAAAAAACTCCTCTTCGTGAGTTCAAATCCATCTTCAGACCCTGGGCAAGTCACTTAACCCTCTTTGCCTCAGTTTCTTTATCTGTAAAATGAGCTGGAAAAGGAAATGGCAAACCACTGCAGCATCTCTGACAAGAAAAATGGGTTCATGAAGAGTCAGGCACTACAGAAATGACACAACAACAACCCTGAAGGTACTATGTGAACCTAGGTCTTGCTAGGACTTCAAATCCAATGTGGAATCTATACTACACCTCTCAAAATATCGTTATCCAGAACAGTAGAGCTAATTCACAGTGGTTCCACACATTCATACTTATTCTGAATTAGAGTAAAGTATATTGTATTTTAAAAAAAAAAAGGTTGTGGGTACAATTTCCTTTCATGCTACACCTTTACAACCTTCTCTACAGAAAATTAGGAAAAAGGCTAAGTACAAAGCAGTAAAAGGGGTACCTCCTCCAGTTTTGTGCCAGGAAATAGGCACGAATGATAAGCACTGGCTTGGGAGTAACATCCTTAGGTAATAAGATGTAAGAATGAGCAATTAACTGATAAAACTGATAAAACATACAAAGAGAGGTTTACACTTTATCTCAAATCTTTTCATCTATGGCCCTGCTTTACCTACTGTTGCCTCACGTAGACAATAGATGCTTTACAATTTAAGAGGCCTTGTGCATCTCTGAGGGAAAGTGACACCATTATAAGACACATGGCAGAACCTGTGGTTGGACACTTACTGATGTTAGAGAAAGGAACAAAAAGCAAGGAATAAGAAAGGATGTGCTGTCCTCTTCTAGAGATGAGGTTGCTAGCCCATCAATGTTTTTTTCCCAGGAGGAAATAACTTTATTTTAATTAATAGCTATAAATTAAGATGCTCTTTTTGCTAAGAGTTTACATCACAACCATTCATTTTGATGAGAGACCACACAAGCATTTGCCTCATCCCAACATTTTATATCATCTCATGTTATCTCCACAGTGCAGCCCATCAATGTGAAGACATGGTAATGAGCTTTTCCCCCAAAGCCACAGTGAAATATCTGTAATGACCATCCATAGTGTCTCACTAATGGCATGTATTTGTGAGATGGCTGGCCCAGCTTAGTGTGGAACACAGCAAAACAAACCAAATATCACAAGGAAATGAATCAGTGACCTTGTCCTCATTAGCAAGATGCTCTAGGCAGCAAGGTAGACTAACCACAGCACACTTGACTATTCTGAATGAGGGAGTGTTATCCACTTGGAAGCATGGGAATCTGCCCTTTGGACTGTATAAGCCTGTAATCAAAATTTCCCTAGTAAGTTTGTAATGCCTCCATGAAAAACAAAGATGCAGATAAATGCCAATTAGCCATGGTAAAGGGGAATGGGGATAGGCTTCATAAACTCAAATGTCCCATTAATCCAAAAACCTAATTTTAGCCAATACATCAACATCCTAGTCCATTAGTTAAGCCTTTTATGATACAGCTGCTCTCTAGGATCCTAACTGATGGACAAATATTTCACCTTCTTCCCCCTTTCTAACTCTCCAGTAGAAGTAATAACAAGCAATGAAAACTGCAAAAAGGCAGATGCAGCAGGAGAGTGCTAGGGCAGAAAGGTTCCTGAACAAATGCCAAATTCCAGCCTGGATCATCTACCCCTGCAGAAAAAGTTGATTCCAAACAGATTCAGACAAGCTGAGGAACACATCAAAGTCAATCAAGTTCAGCTTTTAATTATGGCTGACCAAAACAGCTGTCACTTTACCGCCTTTACAGGGCTTGTTTTCCAGGCTGAGGATCTAAAAGGAGATCTGAGCATCCCTCAAAAATGCTCACTGAAGGATGACCATACTTTGGGTAACTTTCAAAGTGTGAATATCCAAACCACTACAAGTCTGTGTGCAACTGTCTGAAAAAGTATGAGCTAAATTGCTATCATTCATAATTTTTAAAAATGATACTGCTGATCGTATTATTTTGTTTGCCAAATTCTTCCTGCCAAAAGCATTGAATTCGTGGGAATGAATTCATGACATGAAGGTTTCCACAGCATTCTAAGGTCACAGATATGGAGCTGGAAGGAACCTAGTCCAATGGCCCCAAATTGCAGATGAGGAAACTGAGGCCCATAAAAATCAAGCAACTTGCCCAAAGGTAAATAAGTAAGAAGCAGCAGAGCTGGATTTTGAACCCGAGTCTCTGACTTCAAATCTAGTATCATTTTTTCCACCTTGTGAAGAAGTTCAGGCAACTGCACTTGCTTTCATTCCTTCTTTTGTTGTTGTTGTTGTTCAGTCATTTCAATCATGTCTGACTCTTCATGACCCCATTTGGGGTTTTCTTGACAAAGACATTGTCTTGTCATTTCCTTCTCCAGTTCATTTTATAGATGAGCAAACTGAGGCAGACAGGATTAAGTGACTTGCCTAGGGTCACACAGCCAGTAAGTGTCTGAGGCCACATTTGAACTCAGGTCATCCTAATTCCATGTTCTATCCACTGCACAACCTAGCTGCCTCTTTCAATCCTTCACAGATCAATAAACAGTAGGTAAAAGGACAGTGATGGCCTTATTTCATTTATGCCCCAAAGTAAGTCAACTATAGAATGCTTCTCCATTGGTCACTGATTGTTCTGAGTAGAAAAAAGCGGATATGTGTTAAGCTCATTCCTCCCCTCCCCCTCACCCCTTATGCCATCAGCAGTACTCAAGGAGGTAAGAAATGTATGTGTGTGGAGAGAGGAGAAGGGAGGTGACACAAGCACATCTTATATAATGTGGAAAAAATGAACGAAGGGCTCAAGACGTTTTTCAAATGCAGAATATATGCCAGTACCAGATTCATTCCAGCATGGCTGTTCTTCCACAGTGAATGAGGAAGGACACACAAAGTGTGAATGTTAATGGAAAGTACACGGAGTTCTCCCTAATGAAGTGCTTTTCTCTTCTCTCTTCTACTCCCCCCCAAAGTAGTAGAAGGACAAAAAGAGAGAGACAAAAGTAGTATGATCTAAATAAGGGAAAATTCCAGTCATGCCAAATGGTATTTTTCAATATTTTAATCTTATCAGACTCCAAAGAAATGAAGGGAGATGTATAGGCAAAATAAAAAAAAAAACTTATCGATCCATTTCTCTCCCAATTACTCTTCCTCTCATACAACAAAATCATAAAATCCACGTAATTTCAGAGTTGGAGGGGACTTCAGCAGCTGTTTAATCCAAATACTTAATGTGTGGCTCTCATCTACAAAACCCCTTTTAAATGGTTATCCTGACTTTCCTTAAAGACCAGTAGAGAAAGGCTTCCATCCCCAAAACAACTCATTCCATCTCTGGACAATTCTACGTGAAAGATAGTGTTACAGAGTAGACAGAGTATTAGACTGGGAATCAGAAAGACCTGGGTTCAAATCTTGCCTTTGCCTTTTACTTCATGTATGAGATATTCTCCTCAGGACAGGATGACATTTTGTTATTATCCACAGTAACAGGCAGGACTTACTTCCCAGGGTCTGAGTAAGAATCAAATGGGATAATATTATGCAAAGTGTTTTGCAGACCTTGATGTGCTTTGTAATGTGAAGTATTATTAAAAAATTTCCCTTATTGGGGGTCTTCAGAGATTCGATGACCACTTCTTGGTGATGGTGTAGAGGAGGCTCTTTGGTCCAGGTTGACCTAAATGGCCTCTGAAACGAAGGGCCTCTGGGGTCTGTTACAACCCTTAGATTTCCCCCATAAATTCTACCTGTGGTTCCTAGCTCTATTTTTTGGCACCAAAAAGGATAAGTCTGATCCATCCTTCACATGACAGACACCTAAATATTTGAACCATGATCATTTCTCACCTAAGTCTTCTCTAGACTAAATATTCCCAGGTTCTTCAGCTGATCTATATATGACATAATTTGGAGTTCTTTCATCATTTGGTTCACCTTTAGTCCCACATATACTTAATATAAGACATATCACATGAATTTACTCTCTCGAAGATGAGTGCCAAGTCTGGACAGCAACAGCAGTCACTATTGCCTGGAAGTGACTAGGGGACAAAAATTCCAAGCAAAGTTGGAGGAGACCCGAAAGGAAACCATATGTGTGTGTGTGTGTGTGTGTGTGTGTGTGTGTGTGTGTGTGCATACTTATATGTTAAGTGTTGAAACAGA